TATTTGTAAAAATGATTGTTCTTCGATAGACGTCCACTTAAAATCACGATCAGCCTTTTCCAGATCAGTTAACGGAGCTGCTAGTTGAGAAAATGCAGCAATAAATCTACGATAAAATCCTGCTAAGCCAATAAATGATCTAATATCGCTAACACATGTTGGGCGAGGATACTTTCTTATTGCTTCAATCTTTTTATCACCAACAGAAATACCGTCTCTGGAAACAATATGACCAAGAAATTCTAATTGAGGACATAGAAATTCACATTTATCAGCTTTAGCATACAAATTATTTTTACGTAGAATATCTAATGTTGTTTGAAGATGCTTCAAATGTTCTTCTTCATTCTTACTGAATATTAGAATGTCATCAATAAATACAATAATAAAACTATCTAGATGTTCATAGAATATGCTATTCATCAATTTCATGAATGTCGGCAGAGCATTCGTCAATCCGAATGGCATGACAACAAATTCGAAATGTCCATATCTTGTTCTGAATGCCGTTTTTTCAATATCTTCTGATTTAACGCGAATTTGATGATAGCCACTTCGAAGATCAATCCTTGAAAATACTTTTGCACCACCTGATCTGTCTAGTAGTTCATCAATTCTTGGAAGCGGATATTTATTCTTGATCGTTACTTTATTTAATGCTCGGTAATCCACACACATACGTAAACTACCATCCTTTTTTTTGGCAAATAGAACTGGAGCGCCCCATGGCGATTTGCTTGGGCGAATGTACCCTTTATCAATCAATATTGCCAACTGTCTCTTCAATTCGTCGAGTTCCAGTGGAGACATACGATACGGTTGTTGTGACTGTGGATTAGCGTCAGATGTTATTTTGATTTCATGATCGACGTCACGTTCCGGAGGTAAACCGGGTAACTTATCTGGAAATACATCTTTATAATTCTTCAATAGATTATCTACTTGATTTTGAACGACTCTGGCCGGGACACCGTCATTGTCGTCGGGTGTTGTACAGGTGGTGGCGGCGACAGAATCAAATGAAACTTTTATAAGAAATATTTCGGCACATCTTGCTAGCGCAGATGCACCGATCAGAAAGTTTTCACTATTGTTACCATCATTCATTGTTGTTGTTGATCTAATAATGATTCTTTGATCGTCTTTTTTAATTATTAGCACTCCCGTTTGCCAGTTAACCGATGGATTATGTTTGAACAGCCATGATCTACCTAAAATAAAATCATAGTGGCCTCCTAATGGAACCATATAACCCCATATTTTATCTTTAAACTTATCAATCTGTAAATCAAATGTTGTTGTAGCTCTTGTTGTCTCTGACGCTCTACCATCCGCTACACTGACTGATATTCTATGAACTACATCTGTTTCAATACCATGTTTCTTAACAAACTCATCGGAAATAAATTCATGTGTGGCACCACAATCTAATAATATCCGTGCGTTTTTTCCATTAATTGTGTCATTGAATATGATTAATCGAGCACCAGCACATTCAATTTTATTTAGCATCTTCAACATAGAATCGTCTGTTGATGATTCAACTTTATCATCAATTAATGTTGAAGGAAATATTTGATCCTGTACTGTTTCATTATTATTAAAATGTATTTTCATTTCACTCATATCGCCTTTTCCTGTTGTTACATTTAATCGTTCATCATTCTTTTGTGTTGAATATTTCTTCAAATACACTGATTCGAATGTTGAGGATTGTTCTAATGGTGTTCTGGTAGCTGCGATCCTCGACACATCTACCGTGAATCGTTTTTTTGTTGTTTCTTTAGACAATCGATCGCTCTGTGACCTTTTCCTTTGCAATAAAAACATAATCCTAAACGTCTACATTCATCTTTCGATATATCTCGACCTAGAACATTATTTATTGTTGAATCATTTGTCGTTTCATATGCTGTTTGTCGAAATGTTGCTGAATTTTGGAATAATCGTCTATTTGTTACTGATGTTGTTGAAAAATATGCTGTGTCATACGTAATAGCAATGGTAATTGCTTCAGCTAGGGTTGCTGGAGCCTTGTAACTCACTTCAGCTTTGGTCCGCCCTCTTAAACCATCGATAAAGTATGTAACTTTATCAGCTTCCACCATAGCATCAATCTGACCGAGAATATTACGAAATTCATATATATATTGTTGTGCAGTTGTTGTTTGTTTCAGCATCCGGAGCTGTCGTCGAAGTAGTTGTTGATGATGTGGAGGCTCAAATGCTAGTCGAATACGCTGTTTGAATTCCAAAAAGCTCGATATCGGTTGTTTGATGCAATCATCTATTTCTTTTCGCTCATTATGATACCATTGCAGAGCAGCATCTCGTAATAATGTGGACGCATAATAGAGCTGATCGTCACCGACCACTTTTTTTGCATGATACAGTTCTTCAACCTGGAATAGCCAAGTAACTATGTTTTCACCTTCTTTTCCATAATACAATGGCGGTGGGATATTAAATGAATTATTTCCTGAAGACGGTGTAGCTCTATTTGTTTCATTTTGACTGATTGGTTGGTTCCTGTTTTGTTTTTGTTCCTCCTGTATATTAGCTACCACGCGTACAAGGCCCTGGAGTAATTCGGCAAAATCACCATTATTATTAAATGGTCGCTCATCGCCTTCCATTTTTAAACTACTCGCTGCTACCAAATGTTAAGATTAAACTAATGATTTTAATCAAAGAAAACCAAGATTACAAGACTCTATTCTGTTTCAAGAAAATCAAGAAATGTTCTTTTTGTGTTTATAGTTTCGTTTCAGTACTTTCGTTGTTAAGGCTACAATCAATCTCAACACTAGTTCTCCTTTCCTCCCTTTTCCTTCTAAATAAGATTTTCTCCTCCTTTCACCCATTTTTGTCTGTTTATCATCCTTTCTGGCGAGCAATGATCAAACTGTGTTTGTTAATATATTCTACTGAGATTTGCCGAATGCAGCCTGATACCAACTTTTCTATCTCTCATGAAAAAAATGAATATGGTGGAATCTACTCCTACGGCAGTACGTCGTGGGTCAGACTAGTTGGCGGGATCATTTTCAGGTGTCCGACCGCTTTTCTAACTGAATGCGGTGGTTGAGAGGTAATCGACCATGCTGATTCCAAATATGATAGCCTTTTTTCTCCATAGGCCTTTGCGAATCCGCTCCTGGATAACCAGTTTTCCGGAAACCTCGAACAAAAACTCGCTACTATCGACCGAGCTTTAGAAAATACCCTAGTGAATGTACTGAGTAATGAGTGCAGGGCACCCGAAAATGTACCCTGCTATCAGTATATGTTGTCTCTCAGTAAGAAAATCTCAGTAGAATATATTAACAAACACCGTTTGATCATTGCCCGCCTCAGTTATAATTATCAAACCTGACGACAATGTAACATGCGTGAAGAGCACATCGACTTTTTACTACAATTTTTTGAGATTACAGCGTCAGTTTACGGTATTGCACACGTATAAATTTTCATTCAATCTTAA